TATCATATGACATATTGAAGGATATTTTTGAAAAATGGTCTCAGAAATTAATTTTATAGGGTTGACAGAGACATCTGTCTCAGAGGAAGGACTGCGTATAAAATATGTTATGAAAGAAGAACAGGTTTTACTTAACAAGATTGAGACTAAATTACAAAGGTCAAGCCACGAGAATGACATGGGAAAAAATGATGTATACTGTACTTGACATGCAAAAGAAACTGGCTGGTATTTTAATAATTAAAAGTGATGTAGAAATAATAAACCAAGAAAGTGGATTATTTTCCCAGATTGGATTTACAAAACAGACATTAAAATTTTGAAGAACCTTATGAGATGGAACAAAGAAAAATGAAAAGAAACCAAGTGCTAAGAAATTATTTGAATGGGCTAAAGATTGCAATTGTTAAAGAAAGGAATACATATGTTGTTATCTCTGATAAACTTTAATGGATTTTCATTGACAGTTTGATTGACATCAGAACTGAAATGACAATGTGTTATGGATTTGTTTGTAGATCAGAGATGGGACATGGAAAGAAGAAACCAATTGTTATACTTTAAGATGTGATAAGTTACTAAAATTATTTATATTTCTGTTGATGAAGATGAGAACTCACTTCTGTATTTCTCTTTCTTCCTTGTCTCTCTTCTTTTCTGCATTTCTACTTCCTTTTTGTTTTTCTATCTTCTTAGCTTGTATTCATTTTTTACTGTTATAATCTTTATTAAAATTATTATACAGACATTCATACACTCTTTAATTTTTGTCATAATTTCCAATTCAAAAGGTAGTATTAGGGTGACATGTGAAAATATTTTAAGTTTCTAAAAGTATGGTGCATTGGTGTTATCTTTTTAGTTTGTTAATAAAAATGATCAGCATAAGGTGTTTTCCCCTTTGCCTCTAATATTTAAGACAAAACTTCAGAGGCAGTTTAAATAAATTGCTCATTAAGGAGATTATTATCCAAGTGAACTATACTTCAGAATCAACTGAATGTGCCTGGGAAGGTTTGATTTCTAAAAGTGGAACAATTTGTAGTCTGCAATAAAACTATATTTTAAAACATTTTAGAGATACCTTACCTGCTCCACATGAGACTGAGCATTTAGGACGGATGATGGCCCACGTATAGTTATGTTTTAATACATGTGTTCTTTTGGTTTCCACTTTAGGAAGAGAATATTCCCATGCAATTCCTAGATTTTTACCTTGTGACAGAAGCTGACAAAAGGAAACAAAGAAAGCTATCAGTTCATGCTTAGCGTGTGCTAAATTATAAACACTTCCATAATTAGGAATTCCTGACCAGGTAAATAAATACAACATTTGAAAATATCTGGAATGACTCAGGTTGAACTGAAGTGAATCTAGTGAATTATAATATTTGTGCAAGTACAAAATGCATAAATCTCTGGAATAGAAGTAAGGACCTGATTTTGTCTCTTTTAGTTAAAGAAAAATGGATTTGCTTAGCAAAGTAGGACAAGTGTGACTAGACCTGGTCCATCAGCACAAACTAGTAAATATCCTATCTACAAATTTTATACTTAGGTATGTGTATATAAAATTAAACTATTTGATCATCCTGTGGCTAATCAGAAATATTGTGGGTGATCCATAAATGCTATTTTCATTGCTCTTGGGAGGATGGAATAATTCAAATTGGCAGCAGCATTCTGGGGAAGAGGTACTGATTATGGTGTGGCCAGTGGATGAAAGTCTTAACACTTCAGGATGAGAAAGTCCACCTTACTAGCCAATAACTGCTTGTTAGAGCTTGAGACCATAGAGTGATCCAAATGATATTGGGCAGAAATCTGGGCTCCACACCACCTGACCCTGACATTCTTATTTCTCTGGCAGTAAGTCTTGTCTTCGATCATTTCATGATATGGAGAATGACTTGAGCTGCTGCATTAGCACAATTGCTCCAATTGCTGGCCATTTGGGTATTCCCATTAAATTCCTTACAAAGTGATTAGACACATTAAAACAGATTTAAATATCAGAACACACACACACACACACACACACACACACACACACACACACACACTCTCACACACGGAACAGCCAGAGTTAAGATCTATCTATCTATCTATCTATCTATCTATCATCTATCTATCTATC